ACACACACACACACACACACACACACACACACACAAGACCTGCACAAACGCCACCATTGATTCTAACACCTCCCCATCAATAAAGATGCTATGTGTGAGGCACAAGGGAGAACATACAGAGATGATGTGATGCAGAGGGGGGGTTGGTGGTAGGGGGTGGGGGGGCTGTATGTATGGTAATACAAAACATGTCCAGCCCATCTGATGCAGGCATCCATTTCCATCTCGCCCTCACAGACAGACTGCTGTTGAAACAGCTGCTCCTTAGCAGGGCACAATGCAGAATGGAAGGAGAAGAAGGAAAAAAGGCTACAAAGCACCCCTCCATACACAGCCTCCCCCTCCTCCTCCTCCTCTTCTTCTTCTTCTTCTTCCTCCTCTCCTCCCTCATCTGCCTCCCCCCCACCCCCCTCCACATCCCCTATTACAAACACAAGAGAGGGAATTACCTGAAATATGTCTTCACATTCTCTTGCTCAGTGTTTCGCCTTTGGGCCCGGAGCTGCGGTGGGTTCATCGTCAGCAGCACTAGTGACAGTTTAAAGGCAGGATTGCCATTCTCTTGTCAGACCAGTTCCTGACCCTAAACAGCAGAGCTTGCTCGGCAGGCTGGATGCTTCACTGGCTGCTCACTGTTCCCTAGTCCGTGATGTCACCCGCCCTGTGCTGCTCATTGGCTGAGAGGCTGAATATTAATACAGGCAGCAGGTCTGGGGGAGGAGGCAGCCAACGGCCAGACAGGGTTGGTTTTCTGTTTGACAGAACAAACCTGCTGAGTGAGAAGGGAGGATGGAGGAACCACTTTCTGTGCTGTGATCTATGGCTGTGATCTTTCGCAGACTTGAAAGAAAGAGGTCTATGTTGCTATGGTTATAACACCTCAGGGACGTTGGACAAACATTACACAAAATTTGAAAATCTTCCGAGGACAGGCTTTGCAAAAGTGAGTCACTTATTTGCACATTTAAGCTGCGTTTTTATGCACTACCTCTAAAACAGTTTTAGATGAGTCACATATAAAAGATATGAAAGAAAACAGCATGTTAGTATTATAAATAGCAAGAGTATAATATCTGAAAGATCAAATGTCCAGAGAACAAGAGCAGCAAACAAGTTATCCGACGTTAAAATGTGATTAGGTGTGACTGAATGTGATAAAGATCCCTGCATATGACTCAAACATATAGCAAACATACTGAACTTTATTTTAAATCGTACGTGGAATAGCACACTTTGATTTTGTGTAGGAGAGAGGATCTTTCAGAATAATCTTTGTCCTCATAATAATCAGATTCAATAACCCTTGGCTTTAGGTGTGAGGTTTTCTGTCACTGCAGTTGTGTGATGACACAGGAGGGTATTTCATCTATTCCCTTAGCTATTGAAGTGTATGGTTACAAGTACTGTATGAAATGTATATCACTGATATATTGATAACAAAGAAGATTCCCTTTATCAAAGAGGTAATCTATTACTAACAACATGGTGCTGAATTTTACTTTTAAATTGAAAAGGGGTAATGCATGTTGTGTACACAATTTTTGACATATACCGACAAATGTTTTTCCTGTTTTCAATGTTTTGAAATGTCACCAAAGAATATATCTAACACTAACAGACTTTATAACAGATTTCCAGTGTGTAAAAGTGAATACAAAAGGCTGAGGCGGACACGACAAACAAAATCCTCACTGCATTTGCCCTAATTTGCCTATGATGTCATCTTTTTCCTCTGTCTCACCTGTGATTGGTTGACTGTCACAGCATCTGCTCAGTCTCATGGCTAGTGCTTCTAGCCCAAGGTGGAGGCCTATCTGAGGCTCTGTGAATCATGGCTGGTTGTCCTGACAACCCCTGTAATGTCGATTCCTTGTCGGAGAGTAATATGGCTGTTCTGTGACAGCGTTAACTCAAATGATGAGCACAAGAAGACAGCGTCTTTTATAATCACTTGTTTACATCAGGAGGCATTTGTGAGTTTTGAATTAATCTTAAGTAAAATGAGAAATTGACATTATTTAAAATATAGAACACAATAAATGTTGGTAAATGTCTGAAATCTTTAGTTTTTTTAATTGACTTAAATGATTTGTAACAATCATATGAAACTAGAAGTCTTAGGTGTTTTAAATGCACTAAAAATCATGCACAAATATTTCCATGCACATCTTTTGTGAACGATTTCTCCAGCTTTACAGGTTAAAACCTGGCAGCACAGACAAGAAAGACAAATGCAAATGTCCATTTAGATCAGCGGTGCCACATAAATGTTTTAAAGCAGCAGAGGTTTTGCTCTGTCCTCCTGAGAGTAGACACTGAGAATAACTGTACACACACAACAGAGGCAGTGGGCTGCGGTTTATACAGAAAAAGTCCAAAATACTACTAGTTCTTAGGCAACACTACTGTAGCGTGACAAAGTCTTCAAGCCATGAAGAAAACCACATATGGATTATATTAGTCCCTGAATGTTATCCTCTCTGGGGATCTACTGTCTTTTTTGTTATAGCCAATTCAATCCTCCCACAAGTTTAAAATATCAGCAACGACTACTTCATCCATTTTCTACGCCTATCACTTCCCCACATGTGACTGTAATTATGAATAACCAGCTTCACAGTCAGGCTGCAGGAGCAGGCATTTGGCTGATGGGGAGGAAATACCCGGGATAGGTCAGCTGTCCATCACAGGTCCAACACATGGACACAGAAACGCTGTCAAACACGTTACTGTGTTAGTCATCGTTAACACAGCCCAAAGGTCACTAGATTCAAAAAAAATCCATACAAACACAGAAACATGCAAACACCAGGAAGAGGAACTCACCCCTTGAGATGACAGTGCAAACAGCTGAGCCACCATAAAGCTTCAACCGGAACCAGGGATGATCAATTCCTGTTTTTTGTATCCTCAGATAGTCACTGCTTAGTGATATTGGCCAACTGTGTTCATACTATCCGTTACAGAGTGAATGCTATGGTATAATGAGGTAGGAGAGGCTGTGATCCATCTGTTGCTGTGAACAATTCATTTCAGCCTCTTTCAACCAATCAACAGAGTTGTTTCATGACCCGCGTCAGAACCTGGACCCAGCACCCAACAATGAAATAACACACACATAATCACTTCCTGACATGACTGAGGTATCTTTGACTTTTAGTTTGACCTGCATCCAATCCATGAACATGGAGGAGACAGGGTTTATGACCTATAATGCAACCAGCCACCAGGGGTTGATCAAGAAGATTTGTCCATCTACATATACAGTCTATGGTTTAAGTTGCATATGTCTTAAACTTAAACTGTTTCACTCATTTTGACGTTAATGTGACTAATGCAATATTGTCTCTGTTTCACATTCTGTTGAATAAGTGATAATTACTTATGAACTCAGCTGAGTTTTACTCAAGGCCAATCATTTCCTAAGTCAAGCTCAGATCAGGAGCTGACAGGACAACCTGCAGCTGCAGTAAGGAGGAGCATGATTTACCAGTACCCATAGGCTGCTGCTGTCAGTGATCAGGTTTATATAATGAATCCTATAAATATCCTTGGAGGCAGAGCACATCTTTGTGGTGACATATTGTAATAGGCCGTGTCAGAATTTACAAGTGTTTCAGCCAGTCAGGAAATATAACCTACATCTGTATAACCTACAATTATTCAGACAATCTTATCATCAGTACCATAATCTGACAGGTTTCTAAAGACAGTGAAGTAATCTTGATATATGCATTTGCAGTTTACAGTCACATGGCTTGTTATTTTACTGCAAATTGTAATTTACTTAATAATGAAATGCTACTTTTTGTACTTAATGTCAGTGTTACAACTATTTTACTGTGGAATCCGAACTATTACAAACAAGTGGAGCATATATCAAACTCAATATGACAACATGAGCATTGTGTATGGAATATACAGTCCATGGTACAGTGTTTTTTAAGCCATGCTTGATACGTGGGTTAATGGATGGTGATGTTGGTTCCTGCCTAAATAGAATGGAAACCACTTACATTGTCAGGGCCAAATTGATCACTGTAAGCAGTTGATTACTGTAATCAAATTGCCTAGCTTCTGTATGATAGTCCCAGAACTTCAGGGAAAGGTAAGGGCAATATCTCATATAACCCACTTTTCTATCTCTCCAACTTGTGCCGACTCATCGACACACACAGACACACACTCACTCAGCTGATGTCTTTGACCTTCTAGACTTTTCCTCTTGCGCCAAAATAAAGTTGGCACTTTTGTTTCTCAGTGAAATATGCCTACGACTACTTAACAGATTGCGGTGAAATCTAGCAGACATTCATGGTGCTCAGAAGATGAATCCTAATGACTTTGGCGATCCCCTGACCTTTCCTCTAGCAACACCAGCAGTCAGTACTTCAAATAGTTTCACATGTACTGAATGCAATGGCACAAAAGTTTGTACAGTTATTCATGGCTCCTGGATGATTAATGCTTTCAGTGAAATATCTCTTCACGCCCCCCTCAGGATGAACTATTACATCTCTGATATAAGTCATACATTCCAAGTAGCTCCACAATTAAGGCCTTCCAATCAGCCCAAGTGTTGGGATTGCAAAATGCTAACTTACATCATGAGTATTACACCTGCAAACATTAGCAGGTTAGCATTCTTATTGTGAGCATCTACTACAATGCTGATATTATCATTCAGCACAAAGCACCACTGTGCTGTATTACAGGCCTGCAGAGCTGGTAACAGTATTGCAGTCGCCTAACCTTGTTTTTTTTTCATTTCCCCAATATAAGTACTGTATCAATTCAAAGATTTGTGCACCTTTTTATGATTATTTTTGTTCTGGAGATGTTTTTGCAGGAAATATAAACAAGTTTTCTCATTCTATGGCAAAGAAACCAATCTATTTTATCTTCTCAAGCATCCCTTTTGTCTTCCCACTCAGCAAGCCCAACCATAAATTCCATCAACAGACACTTCATACAATTTGTTTGCATTATAAATGTGAATTTTCTTCACTGCTTGTGTGCTGCAGCGTTTTCCTGAAGATTCTTCCTCATCAGTCCAAGAGGAATGTACCATTGTGCAAAATGGAAGCAAGAAATTTGAGAAGAACCTCCTTTGGTCCAGAATCAAATAATCATAGCGCTGATCAGTCACCGCTGTATAAACCATATTGAATTATGGTTTGGATTATCATATTATGGTAGAGCTCGCTGTGCACTGGGAGGGAGCAGAGGTAGAGGGAGGCTTCGGAGAGACTTGCATGCCTCGCAGGAAATGATGATATACGAGAAGAGATGAGGTGTGTGGGTGAATCCCCACTGAACGAAACTTCACTTTCTGTTAGGAGCATCGATAAAACCTCTCGACTCTCACTTGAGCCTGAATTTATGGATACTGTACATCTTTTACATTTAGGTTTACAGTTTTTAGATGGTTTCATTAGGTCCAAGTGGCTTTGGCTATATTCTACAGTGATTCTACCACCAATTCCCAGTGTATTTCAAAGACATCATGGCAATAAAACAATATCAATAATTATCGCAATACAGTTTTCATCAGTAGCAAAATAACAAAGGTCCAATACATATATTGATATACTGATTTCAAACCTGGTCTCAGATTTGTTTTACTGTAATCAATCATTATCTTAAATT